CCAGGTCTCTGTCTGGATGGTGGTGCCCTGGGGAGGCTGGGAAAGCCTGGTGTCCAGTGGGGTAGGGGCGGGATAGCATGAGTCAGACGCGAGAAAGTAAAATTCGCCTGCTCTGAGAAAGTGAAAATCTGTCCTGCAATTTGCTAGGCTGGGATAACAGACACAGAAAGCTGGCTGCCAAGTTAACAGGAAACAGCTTTTCTCCCAAGGACACACTGCAAGAGTAAAGTGTCATGATGAACCCTTCTTTCAGTGGCTACTGATTTCTTGTTCAGAGAGAGTTTACTCTTTAAAATCCTAGACTATCAGAAATTGTGCTGTTTGGAATTATACTAGTAAGGAGGAGGAAACACCCACTCTCGCCTGCAGGGTTGCAGTCACTGTGACACAGAGCAGAGCCTTGATAGCCAGCTAGCTGCAGAGCTTCAAATAAAGGATTTCTAGACCTGATGTACCACCATCTACCTAAATTTTGTAGTTTTCAATGAAGCAGGACCTGGGGCCACTGCAGTGAGACCTGATGCTGACCCCTTCACACACAGACCCACTCTGCTTGGAGCCCATGAAATCACAGCTCCACGTGCACTCTACCTAAACTCGGCCCTGCCTCAAATCCTACGGCAACTCTGTCCTTTCCTTTGTTGGCAAAATGCCCACAGTCCCTCTGGTGTGTGGTCTCCCTCACTGCAACGAGCCAATAATCTGCCCTTGTCAGAATACAGGTCCTTCCTGATGGCTGCAGGCTGATAACACTAAGACAAACACTTAGATTTTTTTTTTTTTTGCGGTACACGGGCCTCTCACTGTTGTGGCCTCTCCCATTGCAGAGCACAGGCTCCGGACGCAGGCTCAGCGGCCATGACTCACGGGCCCAGCCGCTCCGCGGCATGTGGGATCTTCCCGGACCGGGGCACGAACCCGTGTCCCCTGCATCAGCAGGCGGACTCTCAACCACTGCGCCAACAGGGAAGCCCCAAACACTTAGAATTTGAAATGAATGTGAAACAAGTGAGAAGAAATGCCAAGTAGGAGTTAGATACAGGGCCCTGAGCCTGGAGAAGTCAGGCTAGATAAAAACCTATGAGACACTGGTATCAAGATGGCAACTAAAGCTATGTGTGTGCCGAGGTTGCCCACGGAGAGGCCACGGAGTGAGGAGACAAGGGGGCCTACGCCTGAGCCTCGAGCACCTCCACGAGCTGAAAGGCTGCTGCAAAGAAGGCTGACTCAGCAAAGCAGACCGAGAAGATCAATGGAAAAGAGGTGATGGTGTGGCTGGGAAGACCAAGGGCTGTGAGGCAAGATCTCCTAAAGCCTAACTTTGATCAAGTCGCCATGGACTCATTTGTGGGCCTCGTGTTTGTAACCACCAGCCTGATTCTGACAGAGGACTAATCTCCAAAAATTGACTTGCGCTCACCAACTCATGAGAAGACCCTGACGTATTCTTCAGAATGCCAGTTCATTAATTTTCAGTGAGAAATACAACTACCCAGCAGGCTGACATATTCAGCTGCTGATCAGCACTTTCCTTCCCGAAATGAGCACGAGATCAGGACTAAGAAAATTAAGAAGACAACGACCTGGGGCTATGGTAACCAGTGACAGAGGGCACACCTGGCAGCGTCCCAGCGGGAAACAAGGGAACCCCGGTGTGGCCTTTATGGAAAGGACTACTTACAGGGGGGACAGCAGGGGTCAGAGACCCAAAAGGGATGGGAAGGCACCCAGGGACTAGCAGCAGCCCTCCAGCTGAAAGAACAAGGGGGGGAAACAGCGCTCCTGGAGCCCGGTGAGAGCTGCGGGTGGCTCCCGGGTGCGAGTCACAGCTGTGGAGGAAGCGGGAGGAAACACCCCACACTCCTTCTGCCCACTGACGCCTTCTATCGGTGAGCACCCCTGGCAGCCTGCAGGAGCCCACCTCGCAGGGCACCCCACTGGGCCGAGAGCGGATCTGAGGATTCCAAGAGAGAATAAACAGGCAGGGAGCCGTGGCAACCATGAGCATTCTCCCCTCCAACTGGACATGGCTGCCCCCTTGACCAGATGCTTTTCCACACACCAGAAACTTGTACTGTTGAGTCCAGATACCTTCTTGCCTGGACTAGCGCTAAAGACATGACCTGGGCCTCCCAGAGACACCTCTTCTAGAGGCTAAGCAGTGATGGCAAACGATCAAACACAACGGTAAGTTAGCCTTAACCCCTGCAGGCTGACTTGATAGTAACTCGGCCTCAGTCAGGCAAGTACTGAATCAATCCAAAACAGCTCCAAGAACCTCAGCAGGGCTCCTAGACTGATACCTGACACAATGGCTGAGCTCAGATCTCAGAATCTGAATGCACAAGTCCTAGCAACTTAAATCAGGGCTAAAGTTGACCCGTTCCTCCATGGAGAGAAGTATCTCTACAGACACATCTGACCCCCTGCAAGGCTGCTGCATGGCGAGATCCTTAAGTGACACAAAAAGGACTTAATTTTTGGAATAGAGCTTTTAAATGATAAAGCATAAAATTCTTCCGCCAAAGATGAAAGGGGGAGAAAGGAGAGCTGGTAGCAGATACTCGGAAAGTTGGCAGCCCTTTTCCCCAACACAAATTTGCACACAGCCAAGTTGCTCATCGTGGGCACCTCCCTCCCTTGTGCCTTATCAGACTCTCCCAAACGTAATTACAAAGACGATAACAGTACCTTGAGGTTTATTTATAGTCACTTCACAGCTACGCAAGGCAAACCTGCTGAAACAGACTGCTGTCACCGTCACACGCTGCTACAGATGAAGTAACACTCACTTTTTTCTACAATCTTTAATTTCTGGAAGCTTTCCAGCACTTCCCCGTTTAGTATTCTGGGTAAGAAGTCCCGTATTTGCATCACTTCAGTTGTCAGTCGTTCCAGGTCCTTCTTTCTGACTTTAACAAATTCTTCTTCGGTTCCCATATGCTAAAAGAATAAGCACACCTTAAGATTACTACACTTGTCCTCGGATGACTAAAACCAGCAGCCCAAGTGAGCTTGCCTCCTCTTTAACACCTCCTGGGTTCACAACTGTTTCAAAAGCACGTCTTCACCTAACGTGCTCTCCACTATGTACATCACAGCTAGAGCGGTGAAGCCCCAGCCTTCAAGGGACGAGCCAGGTTTTCCAAGCGCAAACGAGGCCCTACTGCTGAAAGCCCAGGGAAACGCCAGCAACGTTTTCTTAACGCTCCGCCAGCGCCACGCTAATCACGAGGAAAAGGAATTTGACTGGATTCCTACTGGGTGCGCCAAGCCCCTTGCCGGCCAGCGCGCTTCGTGTTCACCACAGCCCTCAAGGCTGTCCCGCTGGGAAACGGGGGCACAGGCAGGCTAGGTGACTCTCAGGAACCCCAAGACCAGGGGACGCCAGCAGGATCTGAACCCGGATGCGGCTCCAAAGTCCATCCCCCCCACCCCACCCCGCTCGGGCACCCCCACGTGCGGCGGCTGTGACAGCCGGGCAACCGTGAGGCCGAACAAGCCCCACCCGGCGACAGGCGACAGGGCCTCGCGGGCGGGGACACAGGAGGCACAGGAGCACGCCCACCGCCCACCGCTCAGCCTCCCAGACCCGCACGCGCGGTTTCCGGGGATGCGGTCGCCGCCCCATCCCCGGCCCAGGCCACTTTGTCCGCAGACGACGCCCAGGGCCCTCCCGGGCACCTCCCGGTGCGGCTCAGCGTGGGGGAGCAGAGGGCGCCACAGCCCGGGCCCGCGGACGGCGGGCGGCCCAGCGCCCACACTGACCCGGCAGGTCTCCTCAGCGCCGCCCGCCTCCCCCATGGCCGCCGCAGCCTCAGCTCAGTGCGCCTGCGCGGCGGCGCGCCCTCTGACCCTCACGTCAGAAAGCGCGGGAACGCGTGCACGCCGAGAGTCGGGCACGCAGAACCGTGAGGCTGAGGCCTCGCAGAGATTGGGCAGCCTTCTCGGCGGGAAACCCGGGTGCTCGGTCGGGAAGATCCTGCGTTGGCTCTTCTGGCTTAGCCGGGATTGTAAACTTGTTAATTGCAAAGCAAATGGACAGTGAGACCCACGTGTAAGTGTCTTGTGAAGTAAATCGAATCAGGCATCTCCTGTTTGGCGGGGGATGTCAGACCAAGGGGCGATGCGTTCAAGGGAACCAGCACCCGCGCTCAGCCCGAGCTCCATGAGCAAAGGCCGAGGCTTTCCGACCACAGGCTGCTCGGGAGGTCTGCCCCGGTAGGGGGCCTTCGTGCAGCCGGCTGCTACGTAACTGAGACGACCACCATGAACTGGGAGACATCACCCAGTCCATTGCCTTGCCCCTACACGCCCACAGAGTTCGCAAAACAAGGTGCAGCCTGTGCATTCAAAGGTACCGGTTCCCGCACAACTACGACTTCGTCTGAAGCCGGCCGCAAGCCGACACCGCCGAGTCCCCGGCGTGCGTGCCCTCCAGGCCCGCGGGCGGACCCACAAGCTCACGCTCCCAATCCTCGCGGCAGGGACACGGGCACTGGCTGTCGCCGGTCGGAGAAGTGAAGCCCAGCCGCCGCTAGGGCGCCGGAGAAAGAGCTGCCCGCAACATCCCGCCAAAATCCCCAAGGGCGGCCTCTCTCCCCCGCCTCCACACCGCCCAGGCGGCCCGAGGAGTCCAATGCGATTAAAGACTCGGTGCCGCGTATCTCGGGGACCAGCTGCCGATCGGATGGGGACTGCGTGGAGTGGGCGCAAAAATGCTAGATGACGTAACACTGGCCATCCGTCTCTTCCTGGCCAACACCCAACGCCGGCTAACCTCGCAGTCAACGGCCCTGAACTTTGGCGACCGAGAGACTGCGGAACCGGGCAGGCGCGACGCGAACCTGAGCTGCGGGGGCGCGAACCCGAGCTGCGGGGGCCCGCCCCCTGCCCAGGCAGCCGCGCTTGCTCTCAGAACGCGCTGCGAGCGGCGTCCGGCGCCTTTGTGATGCCATCAACCCGCGCGCCGCCGCCCGCCCCGCTGCCTTCTGCGCAGTCGCGGCCCGGGCAGCACGGCGGCTGGCGCTCGGCGGCGGCGGGCTGCGGCCGGGGATGCTCCAGCGGGTGCGATGGCCCCCGCCATGCAGCCGGCCGAGATCCAGTTCGCTCAGCGCCTGGCGTCCCACGAGAAGGGCATCCGGGATCGGGCGGTGAAGAAGCTGCGCCAGTATATCAGCGTGAAGACGCAGAGGGAGACAGGTGGGCGCCCGGCGGTCCGCCGCGCACATGGCGGCGGGGGCTGGGGAGCCCCGGCTGGGCCGGGGCGTGCGGGGAGGGGGGCCGGGCCGGGGGAGCCGCCGGCGGAGCGAGGGGGGCGTGCGGCACCGATTCGCACTCCTGCATGTGTTTCTGTGTCCGCTTCCTGCCGGATCTCGCCCGGTTCTACGGTTGAGGGACTGCGGCCGACAGGGTTAGGTGGTCTGCCGAAAGTCACAGCGAGTGGGGAAGCTGAGAATTAGACCCGTTCTGTCCGATCCCATGTTGGATCAGTGGACTCTCCTGCTTGCTTCTGGTTCGCTCTTCATTGAGTTACGTCCTCACTTGACCAACACCTTTAGGTGCTGGGGTTACAGGAGAGAAGATAGAAACCCTACCCTCGAGGAAATTGTCCCGGGAAATCCAGGGAGGAATAGATAACTGAAACAGAGCTCTTATAAGTGAGGTAAAGAAAACGAAAACCAAGGAAAGAGAGAGCTCCTCTATACAGGCTGTTCCACAGGACTCTCGGGGTGGCGTTCAACAGGTCTGAGAGGAGGCGACAGGGAAGAGCTGGAAGGTCAGTAAGAGAGGGTGAGGGTGTTAACAGATGAAGTTGGAAAAGTAGGCAGTGGCCAGGTCACACGGGGCTTTTGTGGTTTGGATGTTAACTTCAGTGGGGAGCCATTGACGGATTTTGTTACCTGATCTGTAAACCCTTGAAGGCATGAACTACTGTACGCAGCGGAGGTTTTTATTGCGCTAAGATAAAGTCTGATTTGTTTATTGCTAGTATTAATACTTTGAGTCTATTTGAAAGAATTGATATCATTTATCCCTGTACTGACATCCTTAGTTTGTTTTATTTTGACAAGAAATCACGAAAGACTACCTAGGAAAAAGAAAATACAGTTTCATGGGAAGTCTGCTAGAAAGAGGAATGAAGCCAAGCTTTCTGACTTTGATTCTGTTAGGGGTCTCCCCGACAGATTTAAGTTATGCTTATCCCATGTATGCTAGAGGTTCCTAACCTTAACCTTCTATCCCAGACCTTTGCTGTTTTCAGCTCAGATATGCCCTACTCACCTGACGTCTCCACCTGCACGTCCTCAAACTCAGAATGCCCAAAAGTGAATCATTTTCTTCCCTCCAAAACCTTCTCTTCTGGTGCTTGTCTGCTGCCCGTGGTCTTTTTAATTTTTGGCCGCACTGCGCGGCATGCGGAATCTTAGTTCCCTGACCGGGGATCAAACCCACACCCCCTGCATTGGAAGGCGGAGTCTTAACCACTGGACTGCCGGGGAAGTCTCTCGTGCTGTTTTATTTTGGTTGCCAGTTTCCATCCTCCACTCAGACTCTAGCTGGACATGTGCGTGGCCTGGACTACTTTTCCTCATCCTCTCCCTGCACCCTGCATCCACTGTCCTTTGGTCTTACCTGTCTCCTCTCCTGAATTACTCTGCCCTGACTGAAGGCCCCTCCATCTCATCTAGACTTATGCACTTGCTTACTTCCTGGCTGATCTAACAACTCCATTTGTGCCCCCCTCGAACCCATGCTCCACAAACCAGCCTGGGCTCATCTTCCTAAAACAGCTGGATCACATCACCACCTTCCTGGAATCCAGGTCTGCGGACCGTGATCTGTCCTCTCTTTCTCCCCACCTCAGCCCCTGTGTGACTGCTCCACACTGATTCCTGGTGTACAGCACACCATTTAGCACTTCTACCTTCGCTTCTCCTGGTCACTCAGAAAAGGGTCCCAGCCTTGATCCACTCCCAGCATTCCGTTCAGCATCGCTTGCCCCTAAAGTCCTTACCTATCACCTCACCCTGCTCCTCTGGGATTTGGAGATATCCAGTATGTCTCTGTTGTGGCACTTAGCTACACTGTTTCGTATTATCAGTAGATGTGCCATTCTCCCCCCAAAACACTGTAAGCTTCCGTCTGTTTTCCTAGCCGGAAGTGGGCGCACATCCAGACATACGAGGGCCTTCCTGTGTACAGGAACAGAAGAGGGACCAGATGCAGTACATTCGGGCTGAGGCAGCCAGACAGAGCCTGGTGCTCAAAGCCCTTTGGTGAACAGGCTCAGGGTCCGAAATGCCAAGGTGATGCTGGGGGAGGAGGCCGGGGGTATGTACCAGTGCCCGGGGTCCGGTCTGGTTAGCGCCATCCACCTGAGTTACTTGTCCTGTACTCCTTTTCACCACCACGCCCACACTGCAGGGAATGTAGCGGGCCTTCCAAAAAGTAACTGCAAAGTGAATGTCTAGACAGTGATGATGGGACAAGATAAAACTATCTACCACAGCTGTGCTCATCAGAATAGAAACACAAGTTTGGAAATAACTTGGCCTGACAGCGAATCTCACTGACAGACCCAAGTTTTCTGTGTCGTCTTCGGCATAGTAAAGGCAGTCTGAAATTTTACTCTTGCTGTCTGTTAGCAACATAGAGAGCTTCGTGATTTCAAAAACAAATTGAAAATCTTTGTAGAACTTAAAGCCACTCCGTGTTGCTCTGCTACTTTAAGTGTTCCTGTTGATCACTCACAGTTGTAGAATAACCACGGTTTTATTCACAAGGGCTCATTTCGTCCCTGTTTATCCGTTCATATATTCAGCAAACGTGTGGAGCGCCTCCTCTGTGCTATTACTATTTCGTGCACTACTCTTGGCACTGGGAGTGCAGCAGTGAACAGAACAGACAAGCATCTCTGCCTCTTTTATCCATTCTGCAGCTTTAAGCATTTAACATCCAAAATTGGGATAAATTTTAAAATCAACCTTGTGACGGTTTCGTTTGCGTTCCTGCTTTCTCTTGGCAGCACGTAAGATAACAGTACACCTTATAGTTGATGGTGTCTTAGAGCCAAAGGCAGTAATGGGGGAAACAAGTGTTTCTTCGTACTGGCAGGGTTGGGGTCTCTCAACTCAGTAGTTAGAGAAACAGGGAGCTATGGCTGTTTCCACACAGGTGTGGGGTCACGTGTTACCAGCTAAGCTGCCTCCTGGGCTGATTCGTGATGAGAGGAGCTGTTGGACTTGCTGTATCCACGTCTCACTTTCATGTTCACCTCATTCATTCTGAAGCAACTAAACCTATATAATTGTTAGAAACTTAGTTGTATTAAGTTTAAGAAACTCAGCCCCCAAGAAAAAAAGACAAATCCAGAAGCAGTTGTGGGACAGAACTGCTTCAGATATGTCGTACTTCATCTTCAGGGTCTTGAAGGAAATTAGATGATGAGCATTTCTCTGTTTTGCTTTGCATGCTTCAAAGATTGGTACCTTGTTTTTACCAGTTAAATTCCTGGGTGAAAATGAGGGATTTATATATATATATATATATATATATATATATATAAAACGTTGGAAACAGGTGTTTTTTAAGGGAGACGCGCTCTACTAGGCTATGGGTAGAGAACATGGGACGATCACAGTGATACCCGCCCACCGCGTAGCGCTTTGCTCTTACAACGTGCTTCCCGTTTGTACACTTAGTTTTGACCCTAAGCATGAACCTGACACGTGTCACAGGTGACGAACAGGAGGCTCAAGGCCTTTCTGGGAGGGACAGCCGGGAAGGAGCGGACCAGGGCCTACCCAGTGCTTCATTTCCGCTGTACTTCATTGCTCCACGTAGGACGAAAGTCACGGCCAAGCCCCTTTCCCGCCCGCTGTCCAGGATCTGCTCTCACCTGTTACTTTGTCGAAATCTGCCGTTTTCCCTCGCAAAGGCCTCTGTAGTGCCTCCTAGCACACCTTTGCCTGGCACAGGTGTGGGTTATCCAGATGCTTGAGTGCCTCACATGATCACCTAGAGGTGGTTTGACATGCTGCTGCCCTTAGAGAAGCCATCTGGAGATGAGTACACACTGTGCTCTTTTTAAGTGAAAAGGCTTCTGCGCTTCAGCACACACACCTGTGCGTTTCTGTATCACACGTGAGTGTCGTGTAAACACACACAGGAAAGATGCCACCGGGCAGGGGGGCGGGGATCCCTGGGGGGGGGGGCGGGGGCGGGCACTGGGTTTGGGAAGCAGTGAATAAGCCATTTTCAGCTGTGTACTCTGATATAGTATATGACTTTTTTGCCATAAATGTTCTTATTGGTTAGGACTCTTTTTCAGTTGGAACTTGACAGAATATCCAAGCCACGCTAGTTTTCAGGGGAAAAAAACCAAAGCATAGCTTTATGCAGGCGCTCCACTGATGGTACCAGAGCCCAGCTTCTCTGCAGACAACTGTGCTGCCCCCGATGCTTCCATTCTCAGACAGGCTCCCAGCCGTGTGGCAGGGTCCAAACCGTGTCTTCTCTGCAAGTCTCCCGGGAGAGATCAAGAATCTTTCCTAAGGCCTAAACAAGAGCAGCAGTGGGATGACCAGCCCATTCTCGCGCCAGCCCCGTGGGCAAGGGGATTCCTGCTGCTTTGGCATAAGCCCAGCTGGCTTCTTGCCGCCACGTAGGTGAGCCCTGCCCAGCCCTGCCTTGAAGGGGGGCAGCCCTGGAGGGGGAGACCGTGTAGCTGCTTGGCAAAAACAAGGATGCCCAGTCCCAAGCCTCATGCAGGAACTGGTGTCATTTAAGTCCTGTTTCATCAGTGGTCGTGCTTTTCCAGTTTCATTATGATGAGTTTTCTAAACAGTAAAAAGAAGAAAGAAAACAGCCCATGATAACATTTTGATAATCTCATGCAGTTCTTTTTTTCTTCTTTTAATTAAGGAATATTTCAAGTACATAATTTCAAATATCAGTACTTTGCTTCAGTATTTATTAATTACCTGGCCGCGTTGTCTAATCGGCCCACTTCCTCCTTCCCACGAGATTCTTGGGAAGCAAATCCCCAGCATCTCATTTCATCTCCTGACACCTCAATGTGTATCTCTAAGATAGGGACCCTTCTAACCTAACCACAGCACCATTATCACACCTTATCTGTTGAGTTTTTCCCATCATTCCATAGCTTCTTTATGACAAATCAGAATCCAGCCAAGACCCACCCGTTGTGTTTGATCTGAAATTCCAGCAGGCTGATCCACCTTTTCTTCCCTTGCAGTTTATTCATTGGAGGAACCGGCTCATTTGTCCTGTAGAGTTTCCGACACCTGGGGTTTTGCTGGCTGCATCCCATGGTCTCATTTGACATGTTCCTCTGACCCCTGTATTTCCTGCAAACTGGTATTAATAGTTAAGATTTGAAGTGGTATAGATTAGCTTTTTCGTTTTTGAGAGAATACTTAACAAGTGATGCTGTGTTCTTCGTATTGCATCACGTGGGACATCTAATGGGCTTGGGTGTTGTTGGTCTGATTCATCCATTATAACGCTCCTCGATATTTTTTCACCTAATGTTTTAGCAGCCATTGATGATCCTTGCCCAGATCCACTAATTCCTTAGTCTTAACACGATTGGTTGTAAACACAGGTGACTATGACAGTTACTACGGTCGTGACTGCCGTTGGCTCTGCGCTGGTGGAACTCATCACTTACACTGTAGCTGTGCAGCCGGCTGTGGCTTATTTATTACAAGACGGGGAGGAAGCCAGTTGGCACATCGTTTGCCCGACCCCTAAAGGAAAGGCACTTTAGTAAACCAACGTTACTGTAGTTTCTGGTGAAGTGAGAGCCCATCACAAAGAATCAAATGCACTATAATGAAACTGTTGGTATGAGAAAGGTCTTTAGTGACTTGGAAATCAATACCTACAAAGCTCTAAAGCATACTCTGAACAAAATAAATAAACCTCGTTCTATCGCAAGGGATCTCTGTCACTTTTAACTTAATTATGCTTTGGAGTATTGAAATCGCATCGATTCCAAATACATACCTGTTTACGTTCACCTAGTTTATCCTTTGCTGCTCCACAAGATTCTTCCTAGTACCTTCTAGTGAAATGTTAATAATGGCCGTTTGTAACAGGCATCAGGCTTGAGGATTCTGTTTGTTCTCCATATGCTTGGAAACTGCAAGGGCGTACGCTTACCTGATTTTGTGGGTTCTTATGTTACTCAGCAATTGTTCCCTGACACCTGGGGTCCACCCAGGAGACAGAAGTCTGTGTGCAACGTGTGGCTTGGTCATAGGCGGTTCAGGCAGAGGTGGGGGTCTTGAATAATTAGTGAGAACAAGGCTGACCAGGGTGATGCCACTTAAAACAAGACTACGCTTGCCCAGTAAATGAAAACTGTAACCAGGAGAGAGGGAGATCTAGGTACAGCCGAACGTACGATCCTTAAAAGGGTCATCTTTGCAAAACTATCCCAAAGCTTTGCCAGTTTCCTTGGGCTGGTTGTACGGGACTTCAGCAAACCCCTCATCTTCTGTAGGATTTGCAATTTTGCTTTGCAAGACCAGTGTGCAGGGTGAGGTGCTAGTTTTAGGCAGAGGGCCACTTGGGGGAACTCGTAAATGACCACTGAATTAGTTAATGTTTTGTTGTGATGACATTTGCTTCTTTCCTCAGATAATAAGAACACGCCACCACTACCGCCCTGCCCCATAGCTGATAAAACTGCCTAATTTATGTGTGTTTGTTTTGTAACAGCAAGAAAATGTATGCTTCAGATTTAAAAAGACATTTGCAAGTGAAAGAATGAAAACGTATGCAGTATTATTTTCACGGCTTACGTGGCAGTTCTAAACTTAGAAAGGAAATGTTTGGACTCTAAAATAAGATTTTTATGCTGTTTTACCCTCTAGGAGGTTTCAGCCAAGAAGAACTTCTAAAAATATGGAAAGGGCTCTTCTATTGCCTGTGGGTGCAGGATGAACCCCTTCTACAGGTAACCTGCCGCTCCCTTTGTCATATGACAGGTGGATAAGAGACCTGCCCATTTTGTGCTGTATCCATCCCTAATGTACAGAAACAAACTGAAAACCACTGCTTCAAGGGATCACTTTCTGACCTCTTGTCCATATAGAAAGGGATGCAAGCAGTGAGGTTAATTAACTCTTCAAAGAGCAAAGAAGACACATAAATTAGATTTATTATTTCTCTGTCACAGTTTCATAGGTTCCACGGTAGGTTTTATTTACATTACTTATTTTAAAGTTTCGGTTATATCTTTTATTATTTGTGGTCAAAAACGGCATGGCACTAGTCCAAGATTGTGTGAGCTACCCCGGCTCCAGGCCCACCTCTGCCACAGCTAAGCGGGTGCCCGGCACTGGGCGGCCCCCATGCTGGGGGCAGGGTCTTTGTAGAGTGAGCAGCGGCCCCAGAGCTGATGGCCTCGCTCGCAAAGGCGGTGGAGACTTGTCCCTGGTGCGCGTGCTCACCCGGACCCCTGTCTGCCGAGCACACCGAGCCCCGCCACCAAAACCATCAAAGAAGATGGTTTAGCTCTTCAAGAGCTCTGTTCTGACGTGTAAACCAGGCCTGCCTTTGTAGCAGTAGAGGGTCAGCCTTAGGAGACGCTCTTCGCAGCCCCCTGACACGCCGTGGGTAGGTTTTACTCGGCTGGGTTTTACCGTGCAGCTTTGCCACTTCCCCTAAGCTGTGTAATGACTCACTTTGATTTATTGCCTTTATTCCACTGAACATGTTTTGAGTAGGATAGCGGAGCAAAATATTTTCAAGTTACATTCAAAGTAACAGTAACCAACAGCTTTAGTGGAGGAAGAAAACAGATGAAAACAGATAAAAGGGAATATCGCTTGCAAGTCTGGGAGTTCATTTAAAATGCGTAAGAAAGACTTGAGTCCAGGTAGTATCGACAGGGATTGTTCTTTCCTTCTGTAACTCATAAACAGTTATTTTGTTGACACTCCCCAAGGCAGGTTTCTTCATAGACCGAGACACCAAATTCTCCCCAGCGAGCTTGTGTGGCTCAGCAGGACGGGCTCTTCCCGTGGCATTGGATGCCCTTAACCTTTCCCACCACCCTGCCTTTGCAGCCTGTCTCTGAGCAAGCCAACGAGAGGACTTCCTGGTTCCACACGGAGCCTCGTGAAGTGACAGTCCCGGTGTCTGCCTGCCGGCCACTCCCCCTCGTTGGCACCTGTGTTTCCATTATTTGGGGGTTTGGATGGAATCTCAATTCAAGTTGTATTTTGACAGCCAGGACTTGTTGACAGCTAGTGTGTTTCTTCTGTAGGTCATTTGAGCGCATAGCTGGAGGTGACTTATGTAAGCGTGCGGCTTAGACAGTTCTCAAGGGCATGTTGAGTTGGCACAGTGGTCCGTCGAAATTGGGAATTTCACATTTGATGAAATCCAGATATCCAGATACACTCTTCTTAGTGGAAGTGACATTGAGAACAGGAGCTAGAGACGCCCCCCCCCCTCAGGCCGTGATGCTGTCGTCTCAGTGGTACCACGTAATAACCCCGATGTTTCTCCCCAACCCCGCCTTTGCAGGAGGAGCTAGCGAACACTATATCCCAACTCATCCATGTTGTTAACAGCTCAGAGGCTCGTAAGTCCTGATGTTTTCATGACTTTCAACACTTCCTTGTTCATCAGATTTGGTAACTTGCCTAAGAAATCTAGTCAATACTGTTTCTTCTCCTTCCTTCAAAGCTTCCGTTTTCCAATGGGCTAGCTTCACGTGCACCTGGGCTGCTAGCGTGTAAATGTCAGGCGACAAACCATCCCATGGGGAAACTGTTAAACACGCTGAGAGGGTGACGGAGGAGGTGTCCTGTGGGACACCACATTTGGCATCTCAGAAATTTCAAAAAAATATTTTAAGAAATAGCAGTCCTCCAGAGTTTCCAAATCCTGAGTTACTTTAGCACTCTTAGAGGCTGTGTGTGAACATGCTGGTGTTTGCAGTAACCCCGGGATGTAGAGGATGGCTTATCCCCTACGACTAGAGCCATTTAAGGTCATCACTGGTAACAAGCTGTAAAGTAACCCCTCTTGACCCAAAAGAGTAAACAAAGGGAAGAATTAATTATTTCTGAGACATTCAGGCTTTGATAAGTTACAGAGGAAGAGGAAGCAGAATCCGCTTCTTTTGCTCAGCCCTCCTCAGAACACAGCCATCCACTGGCCTTATTAACCCTCGGTGGTTCTCTGGAGTTTAGCAGGGTCTCAGCTGACCTCGTAAGGACCAGAACTCTACACATGGAGTATACTGTAGCTTTTCATATATCAGGAGAGAATTGTGCAAAAAGAAGTAAAGCAAAAAAAACAACTTATTTTGGGGTGAAAACGTGCCAATTTCATGGCTCAGAAGAGAAAACTGGAATGTTCTGTTAGACCTCACCCAGCTGACACTGAACATGAAAAAAAAAAAGCTGAGTTTCTACGTGGATCCCCCAAGTGTTCATGAGAATTAATGGCTTTGGATTGACTGTTAGGCAGAGATGGGCTTTGAAAAAGGGCCATAGCTGTGGCTCAGGAAATCTTTCGATTTTTAGCAGAAACGTGGCTTGGCAGTGGATAATGAAACACTCTCCAGACAGCACTCGAGTTGAACATTAAGATATTACCAGCCTTCCTGTTACTAAAATAAGCTTTTATGTAAATGTAAAAGAAGTTATTGAGCGTACTTAGTTACTGACCAGATGTTCTAGCTGCCCAAGAATTCTTGAGAAGAGTGAATAGATCCTAGTCTGTCTCCCTTCGTTACTTTCTTGCTGTGTGGTAACATGGTACCCTGCAAGCGTTCAGAGCCTCTTGTTCACTGCAGAGCACCTGTTCATCCAGACCTTCTGGCAAACCGTGAACCGGGAGTGGCCAGACATCGACGGGCTGCGTCTGGACAAGTACCACATGGTGAGGGCAGAGCCACAGCCCCTTTACTCGGGGCTGGGGGCAGGCGGCAGCTGGCGGACCGTGCCAGGGTTGGTTGGTGCAGTGCACGGTAAGGCGACCAGCGGAGCGCATTGGAAGATGCGCTCAGAGCCGTCTGTTTTGTTTGGGCATCCTTAGCTACCAGTTTTTGTTCTAGAAGCTAAATATGATTATTGCGGAAACTTTTTCACTTTGGGGATGCAGGCTCTACCCGTCATCCTGCTCAGCTGATGAGTATTTCTCACCTTCCCTTTCTTTGTAACGAAAGTTGTCTGTCTCTATAGCTGATCCGTCTGGTCCTGAGGCAGTCCTTTGAAGTTCTGAAGCGAAACGGCTGGGAAGAAAGGTTGGTAAACTATACGGGTTAGCGTTTGGGGGCCTTAAAACTTTGAAGGCACTAGTGTGGTTTCAGGTCTTTCAATTAACAAGTTTGAATCGCCTGGTCCACGCCTTCCACTCTGCGTACCAAGAGCAAAACATCCTTACGCGTGAAGAACTTCAAATCCAGCAGATCTGAGCACACGTGGCAGTTAGCATCTTATACTTGTGTCAGTGGTTGTCAAACCTTTTCCGCCTCGCATTGCTTGTTAAGCAGGGGGGCACGAGAGCGTTGCCGATTTCTCTGGGGGAAGAGAGGATGTTGGCAGCTGGGGTTAACGGAACCGTGTGTGTTGCTTCCTGTAGCCGAATCAAGCTTTTCCTGGACGTCCTGATGAAGGAGATCCTACATCCTGAGAGTCAGTCTCCGAACGGAGTGAAATTCCACTTCATCGATATCTATCTGGATGAACTGTCCAAGGTGGGAGGGAAAGAGGTAAGAAGTGGGCAGACGCCCTGCGGCAGTGTACCGTGGCCACAGCTCCCCCGAACAGGCAGGGCCTTGGCCCTGCCCTGAATGTTCTGTGAGCTGGGGGTGGAAATGCTGTTGGCTGGCACTCAGGGTTACCAGCCACAGTAGCAGCGCGGGTGGGTCAGCCTTTCTTCTGACGTAGTTCTTCGCGCATCTAGGAATGTACCATAAGCAGGTGATGGGTCATGTGGATAAAGATTTATGCAGTGAGGGTGTGCACGGCAGTCTATACAACAGAACTGAGAACAGCTTATGCAGTCCAGCGAAGGATTGTGTAACATGAGGAAATGCTTGTGATGTCGAATTTTTAAAAAGCATTGAGGGGGGACTTCCCCGGTGGCGCAGTGGTTAAGGATCCGCCTGCCAATGCAGGGGACACGGGTTCGAGCCCTGCTCCGGGAAGATCCCACATGCCGCGGAACAACTAAGCTCGTGTGCCACAACTGCTGAGCCTGCGCTCTAGAGCCTGCAAGCCACAAGTACTGAAGCCCGCGCCCCTAGAGCCCGTGCTCCACAACAAGAGAAGCCACCGCAATGAGAAGCCTGCGCACCGCAACGAAGAGCAGCCCCCGCTCACCGCAACTAGAGAAAGTCCGCGCACAGCAACGAAGACCCAACGCAGCCAAAAATAAATTAGTTAATTAATTATTTTTAAAAAGTCAGTAGGGAGACTTCCCTGGTGGTCCAGTGGTTAGGACTTGGCGTCTCCAACTGCAGGGGGCACGGGTTCCATCCCTGGTCGGGGAGCTAAGGTCCCGCAAGCCATGAGGTGCAGCCAAAAAATAAAAAAGAAAGCAGTCGGGAAAGAAGGCCACAGACAGAGCTGGGCACGTGGGGCGGCTTTTTAAGTATATATTCGTCTGTGAGCAGACAGAGGGCGAGAAAGGAGATACACAGTTTTTAGCACGCCGGTGACGATCTGAATTGGGATTAGGAGCAGGGGTTTACTCTCTTCTTCCACGAGGGTTCTGCGGTGCACATTTGATTTTTAATTCCCTCGCCTAGTGTCTGGGAGTGTCTGAGTAGGACTTCTGTGTGGAGGAAGGAGCATGTGTTGGGAATGCTGGGAGGGGCAGTCTTCTCTGGTCACTGCGCCGAGATGCCCAGCTGGCTGGATGGCGGCCATGACCTTCAGCAGAGTGTGTTTCGGGTGTTGTGAGATACGTGTTCATCTGATGCAGTCTGTGTGAGAAACGTGAATGGTTCCTTTCTCGAGGACACATCAGAAAGGAGAAAGGCTCTTTTTTTCCCCCTCATTGTTTTTCCTCTTTCTAAATTACAGCTGCTGGCCGATCAGAACCTCAAGTTTATTGACCCGTTCTGCAAGGTGGCCGCCAAGACTAAGGAGTAAGTAGTTCGCGTGTGTTTTTACTGCTTCGGTTGGTGCTTCGTCATGGGAGGTGGTGGTAAAATTGTAGGTGAAGCATGGCGCACGGGCCCTGCAAAGCTAAGAACAGCTGCGCGGCATTGGAAGGAAGCTCTGAGTCGTGGCTGGGCCCCCAGCGGCTCCAGGAACCTCGCCCTCCCATCGCCCGGGCTTCCTCCCACCCCCGGTCCCTCCGCCTGGCACATGGCGCCGAGCTGGCCCCTGGCGGCTGCAGCTGGTTGGCACGGGGGTGTGGTTAGAAACGCGGGTGCCGGCCGCTGGGCCCAGCGGGTCCCCGGGGGGCTGGACGGGGTGTATGGTGACTTCCTCCACCTCCCGGCCCACTGTGCTCCTTTAGGGAACCAAGTCCAGGCCGACTGTTAACCACACTCTCTCTGCTGTGCTTCCGCCCTCAGCCAGACTCTGGTACAGACTATAGCTAGGGGTGTTTTTGAAGTCATTGTAGATCAGTCTCCTTTTGCACCTGAAGAGACGGTCGAGGAACAGAAAACCAAAGTGGGTGACAGTGACCTCTCTGAGGAAGAGACGTCTGGAAATGAGATGACGTGGAGAAAAGCAATCAGTAGAAAGAAAACAGGTAACAGAATTTACTTGAAGAGTCTTTCTTAGGTAAGGTTCACTCAGAGGAACACTTTTTAATACATTTGTTGCCAGCTCACTGACTACACCCTGGAATTCATCAGAGGTGCCTCTGCCTTGGCCCCCACCTGAGAAAGGAAGTAGGGCTGTGTTTAGACGCTCGGGTCCAGGGCCCCTGGTTACACTGGGGCTCATGCACAGTTCTGCAGTTCCCAGGGTCGCAGGGCTTTCTTCGAGGGTTTTGTCATTTTCGTTGCCGTTGCTTTGGGTTTTGTGTGTTTTTGTTGTTTCAGCTTTTTTTTTTTTTTGGCTGCGTAGCAAGGCTTGTGGGATCTTCGTTCCCCGAACAGGATTGGACCCAGGCCCTCGGCAGTGAAACCACTGAGTCTTAGCCAGTCTTAACCACCTGACTGCCAGGGAGTTCCTTCGGCTTTTCTGATGTGTTTAAAAATCTTAATGTGGTCTTGTGTCTGTAAGAGGGTCCCTGACGGGAGACTGATTTACTGTTGCATTGGGAACGCGTGCTTGTTCTGCAGCTCACCTTTCTGTCCCCGAGTTCCTCCAGGGTTCCTTTTCTTTGGGTGTATAAATAACCACTGTGGATGGACCCTGTTCTCAGCGCTGTTTGTATCCGTGGGAGTTGCGTGGCGCATTTAAAATGCAGCCTCATCAGAACTCACGTTGGTTTTCAGCATCTTGGGGCCACGGTGTCAGGTAAAGGGCTAGTTCAGGTTGTACCCACGCTTTTGAAATGTTCTAGAGCCACTGAAAAGGAAAGTTTTCAAAAACTAATAGAGAAAATATAATTTAAAAAAATTTTTTATAGCAGGACCAAAACCTCTGTGTAGAAGGTGCCTGATTTGCATATTTAGACATATGCATATAAACACGCACGTGTGCATCTGGAGGGGTATACACCAAGGCGGTAAGAGCTAGCCCTGCGTGGCAAAATTGTGGCTGATTTCATTGTCTTTGTACATTTGTCTGTTTTTTCTAAGTTTTCTTCAATGATTATATATTTAGTCAGGAAAAGACAAATCTTTGAAAAAGAAAAGATAAGATATTCTGATTGTAAGCTCAGCACGAGCGACAACTCGCTGAATGGCCTTGAGCACATTTTGACTTGGCCCTGGCCCTCTCCTTCCACCACGTCTGTGTCTGAACTAGAGCCGTTCCCCCTCTTCCCTGAGCGCTTCCCAAGATTCCCCCCCAGGTTCTTCATCAGATGCTTGTGGGGCCCGCCAAGTCTTCTCCGGGCTCTGCCCTGAGGCCACACCGCTCAGGAGCTGGTAGGATTCCAGAGACGGGACACCTTTGAGAGCTTGTGTGATTCCAATGGTAATTTCTACCTGCTTCTCCATGAGCTATAATGCTCTTTGGATTATTTCTTAAATGCCAGAGTCACGTCAACATCAGCCTGTTGTGTTTCCTGAGGCGGCCCCCTGAGAGTCAGTGTGCTACTGTAGAGAGTTCACCACGGCCTCAGCTTTCCTGAGACTAGGGACAGACCCTGTCTGCCCTGCTCCCACTGGCCTGAGCCCCGGCCCACAGGTTTCCTGTCCACCTCCACTGCACTCCACAGTGGGGTTTTGTCTACGAGGTAATTAAAAGGCAAAATGTGTGATTTCTCCCAGGTGTTTTTTGTTTTTTTAATGTCCCAGGACTAAAAATCCAAAACATCTTTGGGAGATTTTATAAATGTACTTGCAGGGTTTTGTCTGTAAGGAAATGCTCTTTTGGGGACTCCCCTGGTGGTCCAGTGGAGACGGCTCCGAGCTCCCAGTGCAGGGGCCCCGGGTGCCACCCCGGGTCGGGAGCTAGATCCCAAGTGCCTCAGCTACGACGTGGAGCAGCCAAATAAATTTTTTGTTTTTTTAAAGAAAAGAAAAAGAAATGTTGTTTTTCGCTAAGAGGCGCCTAATTGGATGGTGGGCGGCTCCTCTGGGGGTAGCCATGGCCATGTATTTGAGTTGTGTCTGTGGATGTGTTCCTTGATAGCACTGGGCAGATATCACTGCAGAAAAGAGGGAGTCGCTGAGGAAGGTGGACGGGGCGGCGGCGGAGGCGTGGAGGACGCCGGGCTGCTTCTCCAGGTTGGTAGCAGGTGTTGCTTTTTGTAGAATATGGTGTGCTGCGGAGCCGCCTGGCTGCTGGGGAATTAGGGTCAGAGCTGATTAAACCACATGCCTAATGCGTAAGGTTTTCTTTAATCCCTCAGTCACTGATGCCTTTCTTGTAATGAGCTTATTGGAGACAAAGAGATTTAAGTCTGACGGCAATTTGAAAGATGTCAGTCTTCGTTTTGGCCTGAATTACTAAGATCTGCTCTGTTCCGTCCAACAAAGGGAGCCCAGTGGTACTTTTCAAATAAAGGAGGCTCACTACGATACCAAGTACAAATGGAACATCTAGATTCAGTTTACAGAACAGCATAGCACACCCAGCCGAATTTTCAGAAAGAAGAAATAGAACAAATACAGACCAGCTTCTTCTGAGAACAGATAGAAGGAGGTTTTCAAGCGCAGCGCCTAGCTTCTGGCTGGCAGGCCTGAGGCGTGCCGTGTGCACCGTCCTGTCCGGGATGCTTCCAGGGCCCCGAGCTCTGGCTTTCCTGTCTGGTTGATGTGATTTCCAAGTCAGGCAGCGCTGTGCTTCGGGCTGATGTTTAGCTTTTCTTCTCACGTAGTTTGACTACAAGGCAGTTGCCGACCGACTCCTGGAAATAACCAACAGGAAGAACATCCCTCCCTTCAACAGGAAACGTCTCTCCAAGCTAATCAAAAAGTAAGTGATCGGGGAAGAAGGTTTCACCTGATCATCGTTTGTGTTCAAGTCCGGCCCTTTTGTTTCTTGCCATGAGATGAGCTGTCACCGTGCTTCCCTTTTTTCTCGGTCCTGTAATATTATTACTCATAGTCTTTCAGTACCCACACATAAACTGAAAGATTCTGTAAAAACAGCCGCTCCCCTGCCCCTCAAGTTCATTCTGCAGAGGCAGCTAAACCCACCTCTTAGCTGTTTCGTGATGATGTAGCAGGAAGCCTGTGGAGAACGTGTAACGTCTACTGATCAAGAAATTGCAGTGTGGTTGGGATAGCGGTTCAGCTATTTCCCCCCTCCCCACCCCCCAGCTCCCACTTTGTCTGCCAGAAGTGTGGTTGTGACACCATTACAACCATTCAGGTAATTCACTGCGCAGCCCCGGGGCTTGTGACTCACGACAGGTAACAGCTGAACTTGATCGCACACTGAGCCGGCCCTGTTCTGAGCGCTGCACATAAATCATTTCATGTTCAGGAGGGCACCACAGGGCGGCTTCTGTCACTGCCCCACTTACAGATGAGTTAGCTGGGGCACGGGGAGGCGACCGATGGCCCGGGCTCCCAGCTGCCAGACGCAGCTGGACGCGGGCCTGTCTGCTGCCCAGCGCTGCCATGCAGCCCACGCGCCCCCCCGCACGCACACACCTCCTCACAGCACCTGCCACCTCACAGCACACGCCCCTCACAGCACTCACCCCCTCACAGCACACGCCCCCCACACACACACACACACGGCCCCTCACAGCACCTGCCCCCTCACAGCACACGCCCCCCACACACACACACACACATACACACGGCCTCTCACAGCACTCGCCCCCTCACGGCACACGGCCCTCACGGCACAGGGCTCACACTTCTTTTTGTTCTAATACATTAGTCGTGTAGAGCAAAACACGGCTAGGCTGTCTCCACTTGGGAACAAAGCAGAGAATGCAATGTAAGTAGAGATGTAAGCTTTTTCAGCCTTAAGAAACAAGAAGAAGATTTTAATTTCTCCGTTTCATTTGGGTGTGCCGAGACGCGTCTTTAGATCCTCGTGTCGTTGATGATATGATGACACTTGAGGGAGTTTTGTCCTTTGTTTCTCGCCCTTGCCTCACACCACCTTCCTCTTCCACCTCCCCTTCTAGGAAAGAAGGAAGCTGAGTTAACAAACCCCCAATATTGCTTTACCCTCTAAGCTTCTGTATGTAAAATGGAAAACAACAGGGTCCTACTGTATAGCACAGGGAACTATACTCAACGTCGTATTATAAACTGTAGCGGTAAAGAATGTAAGAAAAGAATGTATATGTGTGTATAATTGAATAACTTTGCTGTGTAGCAGAAATTAGTAACGTTGCCTATCAACTATACTTCAATAAAAATATATTGATAATAAAACATTCAGCTGTACACTTTAAATGGGTGAATTGTTTAGTATGTGAATTATATCTCAATAAAGATTTTGTTTTAAGGAAAGACAGGTATCACTTATATTTTAAAAGGTTAGTGCATATGTTTACAGGAGACAGAAAGACAGGGTTTCTCTAGGAAGCTTTCTTGTTTTCTGTTTCAGATTCCAAGATCTTTCTGAAGGTGAGGAAAATGAGAAGATTATAATCGGTGATGTTCTTAATAAGCGTGGACCCCACAGAGGGCAGTTGTGCCAAATATTGAAAAACAGGACTGAGAGACATGAATTGAAAGCATGAGAAATTAGCCTGCTCAGCTGAGCAGAGGCCCTCGCAGGAACCCGGCGTTGGGCCTTTTCCAGCCCGCCGCCCACCCCCGTCCAGGCCAGCGCGGAGCCAGACGCGGGCGCGAGCCCCTGGGGCGGGGTGGATTCTTCATGAAGAAGACAAGCTGATCCCTCAGAGTCCCTTTCATTTGCTGTGTGATCAGTCGTCCCCCAGGGGAAGCTGCTGCCTGTGAGCTTGGTTACATTTGAGCCAAGTGGATGGTCTGCTGCCCCGTCCCTCGTGCACACAGGGAGCTTAGAATTGGAGGGCCTTGCAGACCTGGCTGAGGTGTGGAGGGCGTCACCCCAGGTCTGCAGTCCCTTGCCTCAGCTGAGAGATCCACAAAGCTTTTTTAAAATTTTTTATTTATTTATTTTTGGCTGCGTTGGGTCTTCGTTGCTGCGCGCGAGCTTTCTCTAGTTGCGGCAAGCGGGGGGCTACTCTTCGTTGCAGTGCGCGGGCTTCTCATTGTGGTGGCTTCCTGTTGCAGAGCACAGGCTTCAGTAGTTGTGGCTCACAGGCTCTAGAGCGCAGGCTCAGTAGTTGTGGCGCACGGGCTTTGTTGCTCCGCGGCATGTGGGATCTTCCCGGACCAGGGCTCGAACCGTGTCGCCTTCTTTGGCAGGCGAATTCTTAGCCACTGCACCACCAGGGAACATCCCACAAAGCGTTTTTAAGTCTGTACTTCCTGTGTCCCAGCTTTCGGGTTGGGGTCGGAGGAGTAGTGAGGGCCTTATGGCAGAAATCAGTGTTAAAACTCTACCCACGTGACGTGGGGAGGGGCATGGCTCGGAGGCCCTGGGGACAGAGCGGTGCCGGTCTCAGAAAGCTGACCAGAAGGGGCTTTGGTGTCCAGCAGGCAGTATCTCACACCTCAGTTTTGCTGAGGACGCTTCTGCTGACGAAGATGACCAAAGCCTCAGTCAAGGGAGGCATAAGAAGAAAGGGAACAAACTTCTGGAGAAAACGGACATGGAAAGAGGGAAAGGTGAGCCGCAAAGACCGCAGTCTGTGAGGGCGGGGGTGAAAGGGGGGCGGCGCGGGGACTGCCTTTGCCGTCCACACGGGTCATCGCAGAGCGGAAGCCGTCGCTCTGAGGGGCTGAGACAGAAAGTCTGTCCGAGTGTTTTGCTGTTTCCTGTGGAACCACGGTGCAGCCTCCCGAAAGTAAAGGCATTTACTGACTCCTAGTGGAGAAAGTGGGTGGGGACAGGGGGATGCTGGGTGGACACTGCCCTTCGGAGCATTTGTCTCATTACTGGGCCTGGGCCTGCAAATTAGTAGAAATCGGAATACTATTTCAGATGCATTTGTATCAAAGCAGGGCTTAGGAAGGTTTCTGGCCACAGCCGGGGCAGGGAAGAGGTGGAGCCGGGTGAGGAAGCTCGTGGGGCCCGAGGGCGCAGAGGAGGACCTGTTGGGAGACCGTGGGGACGTGCCCTGCGCTCCCCCACGAGGCTGGCCAGGTGGCCTGGGCACCGGGGTGCTCTCTGACCGGTTTGTGTCTCTAGGAGCCAAGTTCTCTCCTGCCGAGGAAGAGGAGAGCGCAGGCAGTGTTCCAAAGAGAAAAAGGAAAAAGAAGAAGAAGAACCACCTCCGGCCTGAACACTTGCGGCCCGGTGGTGAGGCCACGTGCCCGGAGCAGAATGGCAGCCGGCAGCCGGAGGCCGGTCCCGGAAGAGCCCAGGAGGCGAGTGCGGCTGAGCTGGGGACAGTGGCCACGTCCTGGCCCCGGGAGCAGAGCGGCTCGGAGCCCGCCTCCGTGCACAGCAGGAGGAGACGACTGAGGAAGAGAAGCCTGAGGGTCCAGGTGGAGAGCCCGGAGGCAGCGGCCCTGGCTGGCGGCGCCCCGGTCCTGAAGAGGACGCGCGAGCTCGGCGCCCTCCTGGTCAACGGCGGTGGCCCGCCCACGCTGGCCTGGCCCCTGCCCCCTCCAGCGAGCCCAGCAGACAGAGGGGACTGCCCTGCCACCCTGCCCCAGGGCGGGAAGCTGAAGAAAAGGAGGAGGGAGTCCGGCGGCCATGACCTCCACGACCTGTCTGCTCAGAAAGCTGCCGTTTTGAAAAAGAGGAAGAAAGTGAAAGAGATGTCAAAGTGGGCGGAGCACAGAGGGGTCAAGCTCGTGCAGGCCCTGGTAAGGCGGCCGGGCCCAGGGCAGGGGGCTGGAGCTCCCGGGCGGGAGTGTCAGGGCCCTACCTGCTCAGCCGCATGCATGGGCAGGACAGGGGACAGCCAGCCCCGGGCCCAGGGAGCGGTCATGGCTCCGGACAACCTCTACCAGGGAGCAAGCAGTGACCCCCTCGGTGGCTTCCTCTGCGTCCCCCCAGCCCCCACCCCTCTGGCTCCGCAGAGGCCAGGGCGGGGCCGGCCTCAGTCTGGGGAACTGTCCCTGTGGCCGGTCCCAGCAGATAAACAGGCAGGTGTGTGTCTCCAGCACACGCTGATCTCGTTCTTCTTTTTCTACTCGTGGCCAGTCCTGGCAAATGCAGGAGCCCCAGATTCTCTTATCTCACTGATGTTTTTGTCCACTTGGATCTCTAGAGCCACCTATAGACGGGGACCTGGGCTCTAGGTCTGCATCTCACACCCTCCTCTCTGGACGTGCAGTGCGTCTGTGCCGGTGGTCGGCAGGCGTCGCCTCCCTAGCACACAGCCCGCCAGCGGCACCCACGCTGACCTGGCTGCTTCTGCCTCTCACGGCACAGCTGAGGAGTGTGACGGAGACCTCACGGCCTGCAGAGCCGGAATCGTTTACTCCCTGGCCCTTTCCAGAACAGGCTAGCTGACCCCTGCCCAGCGTGCATATCTGCATCTCTTGCTTTGCAGCAGTTATGACATCGAGGCCCTTGTCTACAGAGCTTGTGTGGACTGAGTTACTCGCTGCTTCCGGGCCTCACAGTGCAGGATCCCTAAGTGGGTCCGTAGCCAGTCTGAGCCAGGGAAGCAGGGCGTGCAGCTGGGCTTCAGGAAGTCTCTGCTCACCTCAGACCTTCCCTGACTGCCGTGTCAGCTGTGTCGCCTTCTCTGGGCTCTGCGGCCTCTGCCCTTCACCCACTATCACTGATGCTCTTTCTTCACTAAGAATATCAGAGGGATTTCCTTCTTCGGGTCTCGCTTCTCTGCCCCTGGTAGCCCTCCTCGGAGAGGATTGGAGGGGCTGCTAAATGAGTCACAGGGTCGGGGGAGGTTTTCCTTCCCAAGGGGTGGCGTGTCTTGTCCATGTGTGCGACACCGTGGGTCCTGGCCAGGAACACCAGGGACTTGCCGAAACCACCAGTGGGCTGCCTTGGGCTTCCCAGACCCCTGAGACTCCAGGAATAGAGCGGGGCCCGCCGTGGGCTTGTCAGTGTGAAACCTCCAGGGGACATTCCGTCTGCCTGTCACGGACCCACAGGACCCGGTAGCCTCACACTCTCCCTCCCATGCCAGACTTTCCGTGGGCAGTGATGTCTGGTCAGCCATGAGAGTGAATTACTGCGTGGTAGATGGTCTCTGAAAGGCAGAGATCTTCAGAACATGGGCATAAGTTTGAAGATGGGTAAAAATGGTTCTCGTGGCTGAGAAGGTAGACCTCTGGCCGCCGGCATGGTGCCAGCGTGGGGAGGCGGGCATTCGTGTGTGTGTGGCGTCTACTCAGGAAGTGAGGTGTTCGCACACCTGGAACAGGAAACGGGGGGCTTGGGGTGAGCTGGTAAGTGGGTCCCGCCTTGTGTCCGCTCGCTTCCTGCATTCACGGGGGGGTGTGACCCCCGTCTCGCCCCTCTGCACACAGGGGAGCGGTGGGGCGCTCAGCCCTTTGAGGAAGCAGCTGAGGACCCAGAGGGACTTCGTGAAGTTTGACGCCTCCTCCTCCCCGAAGCCCCTGTTCTTCAGGAAGGCCAAGGGCAGCGGGGCCGCCACCTCGCCAGGCCCCGGGCTGCAGGTACCCGACCCCCGCCCTGCCGCCCACTGTCCCTCTGCCCCCCGGCCCACCACGGCCACCCGAGGCGCAGACAGGGGCTCTGTGCGCTGGCCTCGGGCCCCACTTCTGGCCTCTGCCGCTTCTCGCGGCGTGCCAGCCTTGTTCAGGCAGCCATTCCGGCCCCGGGCAGCCCGAGGGCTCAGCGGGGAGCTTGAGGTGTGGTCGGTGACACCGTTCCGCGTCAGCGGGACTGGGGTGCTGTGTCCGAGAAGTCGCAGGACTAGGCAGCGAAGAGGGGACGGAAGCTCTGGGGAGTCTGGGTCCACAGATCTGCCTGGGACACGAGGGGAGCGGTCAGAGCGAGTCGTGGTGGTGGGAGAGGGTGGTCACTGTTTCAGGGCTCAGGAAGGCAGGGCCAGCTGTGCCGGGTGCCCAGGCCGGGCCGCTGGGGGTGCGTCCAGTCCACGTCCAGGAGACAGAGGCCCTGGCGGAGCCCCTGTGGCGGGCGGGCTGAGCTGGCCTGCTGCGGACACCCCCGGCGAGCTCACATTTAAATAGCACCCACTCGAACTGGCAGGGTGGCCGCGGCCTGTGTTTCTTTTAAGGAATCTTAGGGATATTTGTTCAATGACTCAAGACTCACACAAGCCAAGTCCCTCTCAAGATGTTGATATTAAAGCAAAAATGGTATAAAGTAGAATCATGGGATTCACACAGATTTGGGATTCTAAGAAGGATTCGATAAAGTGCTTCATGATGCAGAGTGGGGACACGTCTAGGAATTTGTCAGATAGGAAGCAGTTACTTAATTTTGATGAATTGTTAGAACATCCAATCCGCTTGGAGTCCTCCTGCACGAGAAGTTGGGAGGTGCCCGTCCGTTGCCCCCAGAAGTCAGGTTCCGTGACAGGAGCGGGCCCATCGCTCCCCTCACGAGGTCACGGCGGGGCTCTGGGACGAGGTGGATGGAGTTAATGGTGAGCTTCCTCTTGTTCCTGGGAGGTTTCAAACACCGTGATTTTGCTCTGCTCTCCTCCCCGGGAACCCAGGGACAGGCGGTTACTGCAGAGCGGGGCTGGCCCGCCAGTGCCGGGCCTGCGACGCGGCCGCCGTGGGCTCCCGGGGCAGCTGGGCCGCGTCCTTTGCTCCTTTCGGTGTCGTTTTCTTCTGCAGCCACACAGGACGCCGTCCAGCTCCAAGAAGGTGACGTTCGGGCTGAACAGGAACACGACGGCGGGTGAGTCGGTGTCCGCTCTGGGGGGCGGGGAGCGCCTGGGCCCGTCGCTGGGCTGCTCCCGGGGCGGCCGGGAGGGCCTCGGCTTCCAGGCCTGCCTGCCCTGATTCTGAAGCCCTGTCGGCCCGCCACCTGGCGGTCTGTCCTGCCTCCGCGAAGGTCTGCAGGCTGCCTGCCCGGGGAGGGGGGAAGAGGGGCACGCTTGTCCTACCACTTTCCATACGGGTGTGATTCGCCTGCCTTGCTTTGTCTTTCAAAGGAGGAAACCAAGGTTTTTACAAGTACATAGTGAGTTTAGGTCCTGGCTGTTTTTAGGGACCACGAGTAAACGTGTGTGTGTGCCTGCGTGCGTGCGTGTGTGCGTGCACACGCACGCGTGCAGAAGGGAGGGGCTGTCTGGAGAGGACCTGTGAAGCTCTCATCTTCAGCGCTGGAGAAAATGGGGGGAACAAATCCACCAGGAAGGAAAGGCTCCTTCAACTGTCTAAACCTGGGGTTCATCCCAGACCCAAACCGGGGGTTCACCAAGTGCCCATGTTCCGTAACCCCCCCCACGCGACCTGGCCCGCCTGGCGCTCCCCCCACGTCCGTGCAGGCGGCCTCAGGGCATTTTCTGAGGAGGATGAAAGTCGTCCGAGGGAAGGAGCCTCACTGGTGACTCCATTTCCTCCCGGGCTCTCGGGCCCTCTCTGCGGGCCTGGTGAGGGCGCCACCCTGCCTGGGAGTGAGCACGCAGCTCGGGGCCTGCGGGAGCCTGCGCTGCCGGCAGGACAGAGGGAGGCATGCGTACCCTGTTAACCTGTGGCCTTGCTTTCATCGGGGCAGAATTCAAGAAGACGGACAAGAGCATCTTGGTCAGTCCCACGGGCCCCTCCCGGGTGGCCTTCAATCCTGAGCAGAGACCCCTCCACGGAGTGCTGAAGACCCCCAGCAGCTCGCCGGCCAGCACGCCCCTGGGGACCAAGAAGCCGCTGACCAGCACGCCAAAGAGGAGGCCGACGGCTATAGACTTCTTCTAGGGTAGTCAGTCCTTTCACAGACTGCTTTTGTACAGAGTATTCTATAAATTATAACGTTTAAAAGTGGGGCCTTTTTATTGTTTTATAAATTCCCATGAGTTGTGTGTACGAGGTTCTGGGTGAGCCGTGGGGCCACGGGCATCTGGGTTGCGCTTCTGCTGCAGACGACGTTCGTGCTCGAGCTCTCCGCTCCCCGGGTGTTCCCAGCTGTGGGTGACCTCAGGGCCTCCGGCTGTGGCGGCGAGGCCCATGGGCTGAGAGCACGCTGCCCAGTGCCCCTGCACTGATGCGCGCGGTGGCATCCCGGGGCTCAGTTCCTCGCCAGCCCCGCCCAGCGCGTGTGGAACCGCCAGGCGAGGCTGGTTTTCTGGTGGTCTTGGGTCTAACAGTCTGTCTTTTTTCTTTTTCAAAGCATGTAGGGCTTTGTTCCCGTGTTCTGGGGGCGTTTGGCAGTTTGGGGTAGAGGTGACTTGTAACCACATCAGCAATACCGCGCTTTTTCTACGCGCTCGCAGGGCGTGCTCAGCGGGGCTGACCCTGCGAGTCGGGAGCACTGGGGCGGAGAGAAGAGCCTCTGCCCTCGGGGGTCAGACACTTCCTTCCCTCTGCCTCGGCCTGGTTTCCTCCCTGGTTTCCTACCTCTGGGCCAGCCTAGGGTGTCCTCCCTGGGCGCCCGGGTCCTCGTGCTGTGTGAGCCGACACCCTCCATGGCTGGCGGCCCCAAGAGCAGCTTGCCCATCTTCAGTCCCAACTCACGTCTTCAGAGGCGCGGCCGCCGTGTCTGAAACTTGGGTTCCTGCTAGAAGGCAAAAGAAGCAGCCTTTAAGAATTGTCTCTGCTTATTTATTTGTTCGTAGCTCCCTTTTTGCAAATGTCGAAGCTTGCGCTTACAGATTTTTATAAAGCTCTAATTTTAGTTAATTACAGCAATCGGGTGGAAGGCACTCAGACTTCAGTTGGAAAAACAGAAGTGCAGCTTAGAGAGTGCTGGCTAGGCGACTGATCTGTCTTGGGTTAGAGCAGTGCTGGCTAGGCGACTGATCTGTCTTGGGAAGCTGTGTCTGTCCCTCGAGCCTGAGTGACAGCTGGGACACAGACCCCGCAACCTTAGAGAAGCCCCTGGGGCCCCTCCCGGCTCTGTCTGGAGTTTACAGCCCTAAGGAGGTGGTGCAGAATTTGAGGGGGACATAGTTTCAGCTCTTGGCTCAGGGGACCTCGGGCCTTCTCCCTCCCCCTGTGCAGGAGCCCGAGCCAGCCCCCTTGGCTCCTCCCCAGCACAGGACCCCAGCGTCGCCTTGGCGGTCCCAGCTGCGACTTGGGGTGACGGGGCCTCACTGGGGTTGCAGGGCTGCTGTGACTTTGGTTTCCTCGATCACGTGATCAGGGTGGGGTCCTCTGCAAAGACCACAGCTGACAACTTGCAGGTCAGGTGGGCCGGCCTGCGGGGGCCTGGTGAGCAAGGAGGGCTTGCGAGCTTTGCTCCTGGCCCGCTCTCTAACAGAGCTGTATCATAATCAGGCCGCGAGCAAAGCAAGCCTCAGCGTCGTGCTGTTAGGTAGTCGTTGTACCTCGTGGTGGTGGCGTGGTTTGTAGTGTGCTGCCTTTGATGGGATCCATCGAAGCCAAAACTGACGGTGTGAAAAGGTCAGATTTGAGGACTCAGATGTTTTTAACTTTTTGTTTTTAAAAACTTGTTTCGTTATCCTTGGTCAGATTATTTTTCTAACAATTTTTATTTCAGCGTTCAGGATGGGTCATGTAGCCCAATGGGCCGTATAATCCAACGATGTTAAGATGTCTTAGCGAGACCAACGGCAAAAATGGCTTGTTTGTCCTGCAGTTGAGGGCGAGGGCTTTCTTCCTCGCTCTGATATGTCATCTGTCGCTCCTGAGGCCCCAGTGGGGCGTCCTGGACACGTCCTGCCTGGGGCCCAGAGCCCAGGAGTGACAGTGTGTCTTGGATTCCATCTCTCCTTCTCTGAATCTGTCCTGACTTACTCCAGGGTAAGCTCAGTAGGTTTACTGTGGCATATTTCTAACGCCTAAGTGTTGGCAACAAAGAAAGAAAAAATACAGTGTTTTAAAATTCTCATTCCATACACTCCAAGAATGTATCACATAAGGAAAATGTCTTTACAATACCAGTTTTCTATTGGATGCATGTTATTTTCCTAGCTAAAGTTGCCAGGGGGACTTGCAAGTCCAAAAAGGGAAATAATTTAAATTAATGCTGGTGATCTTACAGTCTTTTGTAAAGTGATCATCTTGCCTCTTACCCCATAGGACTGATCAGTTTTGTACAATTTGGTATCACACTTTGCAAATGTATTATCCTTTCTAACTTTTGCTGAACTGAAAGCACAAAGAAAAGCATAAAGAAAATCGGGAAGCAGTTGCTGGTGTTGGAAGGAATGTGGAATTGAATCTGTCTCTTGACTGGTGTGTGTGCGTTTTCTCTGAATTTTCCTGACTGCTGGCAAGGCCTGTTCGTTTACAATCGTTTTGTACCCGTGTCTGCAGGGTTTGTCAGCGCTCGTCAAAGCCAAATCCAATAAAACGTCAGTCTTTGCCCTCAGATGTGTACTTGATCTTGACTGTCAGCGTACGTAAAAATACGCCTCTTCGGGAGCTAGTATAATGCAGCCGGGGTTCGCTGACGCTGGGGACAGTGGTAAGTGTTTGAGAACAGGCGTCTCTGGGCACCCGTCCTTCTGTTGTGCGTCCCCTGCCCGGAGCCGGCAAGGGGGTTTGCAGCGAGGCTCGCCCTGCGGCTGCACACGGACACCCCCACTGCCAGGCCTGAAGCACCTGCTCCTCAGGCCTCGGCCTGTGAGGACGGTCGCAGGGGGCGCCGGTGTCCTGGGCGGGGCCCCCCACCTCCACCGCAGAGAGGTGCCTGCCGCTGTTCCTCTTCCCTGAGGGGAGAGGTAGACGGCCCTGTCTCGCCAGGCAAGCAGAGCACCGCCACCTGCTCTTGGCCTTGGTATACACGTGTTCCCCGAACAGACGCTCCTCGGTCGCGGTTTGGATCCCAGACACGTCCACAGAGGGTCACTTAACCCATAAAATAACACCTGGAACACCCGTGAGACCCCCACGCCCTCATACGTCCTCCCCGACCCCCGTCTCAGCAGCAGGACCACGAGATGCCTGTATCCACCCGTTCCTCCAGCGACGGGCGTTTGGTGCCAGGCTCTTGCTGATATAAACGGAGCTCAGATGTCAACCAAGCTTTCCAGTCTGCCTGGTGCCAGTTGGGACTCCTCCCCGAGGTGAATGCAAAGTCCCAGCAGGGTCTGTGTCCTCGGGCGCCCATACCCGCTGTCCGCCTCTGCCGGTGTCTGGTTCCCCATCCCTTTACCTGAGTGCGGGGCAAGGGGCCTGAGCCCGGCCCACCCCTCCTGAGATGCTGCAGGCACCAGGGAGCCAACCTGTTCCTGAAGGTTCGGGGTTAGGGGCAGGGTTATGTCACTCAGCCACCACTACCTAAAATCACCTTGAAACACGGCGGTTCTCAGAGTGGGGTTTCTGGGGGTCTCTCACCGTTTCCATGCCCTCACCCACAGACCCATCCATGTGTTCAGCACCCCCTGGCATGCTCAGTGCCCTCCCCCTTCCTACGTGGCAGACGATAGCCCTGCAGGAGCCACCCTCCTTAGAAGACAGACTTCGGAAGTTCCCTGGCGGTCCAGTGGCTAGGATTTGACACCTGGGCAGGGAACTAAAATCCTGCGAGTCACGCAACGCGGCCCAAAAAAGAAGACCGCGAAATGGGTATCTTTCCCTCCGGTACTAGCAGTGTGTATCCTCTATAGCAAATCACTCATTCATTCAGCAGATGCTGAGTGCCTGCCGTGTGCCAGGCCGTGTTCTGTGCTACATGCTGCAGCGGCAAGAGTCAACACAGACCAAGTCGGCGCCTGACGATGCTGACCCAGGGGCCGGGGTGAGGGGGGTGAACAAACAGATAAAATGCATGCCTGTCACCTGGGGACAAGAGCTCCATGTGGAAAAAAATAAAGCATGTGGGACTTCCCTGGTGGCGCGGTGGTTAAGAATCTGCCTGCCAATGCAGGTTCAAGCCTGGTCCGGGAAGATCCCACATGCTGCAGAGCAACTAAGCCCGTGCACCACAACTACTGAGCCTGCGCTCTAGAGCCCGTGAGCCACAACTACTGCACCCATGTGCCACAACTACTGAAGCCCATGCGCCTAGAGCCCATGCTCCGCAACAAGAGAAGCCTGTGCACCGCGAGGAAGAGTAGCCCCCGCTCGCCACACCTAGAGAAAGCCCGCGCACAGCAATGAAGACCCAACACAGCCAAAAAAATAAAACCGTTTTTTTCTTAATTTACCTGACTCTGCTAGGAAGAAGGAAACATTTGAACAGAGACCAAAAGAGATTGAAAAGTGAGCCGTGGTATGTGAAGAAAGTATAGCCAGCAGAAGGAGCAGCCCATATAGGGGCCCTGGGGCAGGTGCACATGCAGGGAATTGAGAGAGCAGCCAGGACAGCCGGGACCTGTAGAACAGTCGTGCCAGGAGCTCAGGGAAGCCGCCCCCAGGAGAGACCTGACAGGCTGGTCACACTTAGCAAAGAACCATTCAGAGTCCCTGGAGATTGATCGAAGGGCTTAGGACAAACTGAGAAGCGTTTGTTTGACAATATGTACAGAAGCTCGTGAGAACCGTGGAAGCCGTGGCGCTGGAGCTGGGGCCGTACCCACACCTCACAGGGATGGCTTCAGTGTGTCGGCGGCCGCCTGGCGGTTCCCACCTCCCTGCTGCCCTGGGGTGGAGGAGCTTTTCCTGGGAGACTTGGCGGCTGAAGAGTAACCTTTACCTGCGCTGCTTCCACAGCTCCAGGGAGCACAGGGAGGGCCAGGGCTGCTGGCGTGCTGGTGTAGGGGCTCTGCGGGTAGCACCTTCTAAACCTCAGACAGAAGGGGACTCTGCCGCTCGGGGCAAAAGCCTGGGTCTCCCTCCGGCCCCAGGAGGTGTAGGAACTTCTGCCGGGGGGCCCTCTCTGCTGCCAGGCTGCCCTCTCTCCTGCCAGGCTCTGTGCCTTACAGATATCCCCGCATCCGGTCCTCAGCGTCCCGGCAGGTACATTGTGATGAGTCCCTGTCACAGACAAGGAAATGAGGCCTGGAGACACACGTGCAGAGCAGGGCTCTGATCCCAGCTCACCTGTCCTGCACGCCGCCAAACCCTGACTCCTCAGCGTGGACCCCAGCCGGCAGTTAGGGGTTAGTCGCCCCCAGGCCCGGTGAATCCGTACCAGGGGATTAGGGCACACACAGTGGGAGGAGCCCTGGTGCAAACAGCAGTGTTAGCGCAGGGCTCTCGACGCAGGAGGCTCCTCGGCAAACGCGCTGACCTGAGTCGACCCCAGCTGCAAACCCACAGAAGCAGAGGGCTTTTCTCTGCGCTGCATCCACCGGGTCCGAGCTAGGGAAACCCCGCCAGAGCCCTGGGCCCCAGCCCTCCCCTCAGCCTTGAAGTTTTTGAGCTACGTGAGAGCAGAACAAATAACCCCGCAAGCTCCCCGAGAGCCACCGTCTGGAGTGAAGTGATGCTGACATTGGCCACGGGTTTGTTGATGCTCTTTTGGACTGAACCCTCTCAAATGATATCCCAAACACCCCAGCCTGCTCTGCCGGAGAATGACGTTCTCTGTAACCACATCACTGCAGTCTCGCCAACCCAAATGAGAGCCCCAACGTCCTCTCTCACAAGCCCACGGTCAAATTTCCCCCAGTTGTCCCCAGACATGCTTTTTCTAACCAGGAAATCAAGGATCACACGGCATTTGCTTATTGTGTCATAAAGGTTCTTATGCTGCAGCATCTCCTCCTTTACTTTTTTCTCACGACATTGGATTTGGGAAGAGTGTGTCTAACCTTGACCCTACAGCTCCCAGGTAGACTGTGATTGCTCTGGGGATGGTCTCGCAGGGGTTGTGACCTTTCTGCTTGGTCTCGGGACCCCAGGGTGGGAAGCCCAGCAGTCTGACGCCCCCGGCATCGCTGGCCAGGTGAAGCCTTGGATTGATGGGCTGGTTGCCGTGATCTCCAACATCAGCCTTCCAGCTTTCTCAGGAAGCTGATACAGGGAAAGGCTTTATTTTCAACTCCGGGAAAGGATGAGTTCCCCTAGCCCAGAGTCAGGACTGGGTCCCCAGAGCACAGGCTGGTTTTCTCTGAGACCCGGGCCCAGGGGCAGCCCAGGACTGGCGCATGGTCTGGCCCAGTTCTCTATCTCTGGGGAAACAAACCCAACGAGGAGGCCAGTTCTCACCCGGCCAGGTGCTGAACCAGGCACCGTGGGGACATGGCAGACCCCAAAGAACATCATCTCCCCAAGAGGTCCTGCCTCCACATGCACAGATTATCACCTGATTTTCATCTTTCAGCTGTGGATCCACCTAGGACGTCAGATAAATTCTGGGCTTAGCACACGGGGCAGCAGGCCCGGACGCGGCCGGACTGTGCAAAGAGTCAACGGAACCCCGAATAAACTTGATTACTTTACCAGCACCCTGACTAAATACACGAAACATAAGCCAAGTCAGAGTTCTGTTTACAAGCACAACACGAACGCAGAGAAGTGACGAGGCTCAGCTCTGTTTTCTGAGCCTCCTGCTGGAGCCAGGTCTGCACACTCGGGTAGTGACCCTGCTGGGGGCTCAGAAGGTGGGAGAAGGCCCAGCTTCCACCCTGCGCCGTCACCACCCCCGGCCACGTGCAGAAGCTCAAGATGGCCCCCGAGCTCCCTCGTGGAAGAAAGGGCCCGCAGAGGCTGGCAGAGGGGAGGGCCCTCTGTCTCCCCCAAGACCACCTCGCCCTTCCTATCGCAAGAGCTGGGAGCCAGGCGGCAGGCGGGCCTGGTCCTTACTTGACTTACAATACGGACTGGCCTTTCAACCGGCACGTCGGCTCCCAGCCTGGTCGAGGAGCAGGCCCGAGGCCACTCCCTGTGGGGCTTGTTAGATCAAATTCATATTTTATGGTAAGACAAGAAAAATTTAAACAAAAAGTGCTGCCCTTTGGCGTCCTCTCCCCCGCACTGTGCCTCGTATATCCGCGTTAGGAGTCGACCAGGGCTCCCCATCGACAAATTCCTGCTCGGCCAAGAAGAGCAACATTCTCCCAGCATCTACAAGACAACCCCTTAGAGGTGACGTTCCTTCTCGGTCTTGTAAGGGACCACGTGGCCCAGCACAATGATGCTTAGACCTGGGTTACGTAAAGTGTCAATAATAGGTCATTTGACCTACAGCCCTCTGTCTCAAAAACCTTACATATCTGTGTCTTGACTTCTAATGGGCGGAACAGTCCTCAGAGCTTTCTGAGATGCTCTTCCCGGGTTAGAATCCTCAAATTTGGCTCAAAACTTTCCATTTCTTTCTTAGATCGACTGATTAACTTTTCTGGCGACAGGATTTGGGGGGAGGTGACAGGTGAGGGGCTTCCAGAGGGGGATCCCCTTCGGGGCCAGCGGGTGTATGCACCTCGGCACCCTCTGACCTTTCTCTGGGAACAGCTACCTGAAGAGGGCTGTCCGCACACTGCC